AACCATGATTTGGTTGATGTCTCGTTCGGCCGATGACTTTGCTTTCTTAACCTCATCACGCATAAAGTCTAACTCTTCTTCTAATTCTCTAATCCTTTTTGACAGCACTTCACTTGAGACCTCTTCTTCCTCTACTTCCTCTTCTACCTCTTCCTCTTCTGTCCGTTCCGGAACTACTCTCAAATCCTTGATTCTTCTGAGTAATTCTTTCTTACTTGTAATTTCGTTGGACTGGTCAGAGGGGTAGCAAGATATTAAATCATTAACAACATCATTCTTCTTCCCTGCTGGGAAAGCCTTCTTGAGTTTGCTGTAGATACTTTTCAATTCTTTGAGAGAAAGTGATTCTATCACCTTTCTCGAAGTAATTGATAATAATTGTTCCATATCACAAGTAATGTAAATTTTTTGAAAGTGAAAATTCAAAAAATTAGTCAACCAACCACTTTTATTGATTACAACAAACCTCAGTAAAACTCCCTTTTACTACCGAATTTTATCTATCCTGGACAGGTGAACAATTAATACATTATAATATATATCTGATTCAATGGTAACATCTTCGTTTAAATTCAAAGGTAGTTTAGAAACCTTGAATGAAACCAATTTTTCTTGACAACCCTTACTTTTCTTGGATTAAGGCATATGTGACTTGATTCTTTAACACATTGAGTCTTTTGGTGGTTTGGTGTGGGGTGTTGTGTTTACCTTCCAAGTACTTGAGGACTGTTACGATTGATATTATTGGAATGCAAAGAATTAACCAGGAAACTGGATGAGTTCCTCTTCACTTGAGTTGATTTTGGTGCATGGGAGTCGTTGCCATTCCTTCTACTAGTGTTGGAGTCTCCTTTGAAATCGTCACTTCTTTTTGGTACAAGCACCGTTTGGGGCTTCCAATTGAATCATTTTCACTTTGGAGAGTTGGGTTCGCAGAGAGTTATTCTTGGTTTGAAGCTCATTGTTCTTGGTTTGAAGCTCGGTATTTTCCTCCAAAAGTTCCAACATCTCTTTATGGTTGGAATCAGCTTCCTCTCTTAGTTTCATGTTGTCCATATTCAACGTTTCAATGATTGTTTTTAGACGAGAACATGATTGCGTGGCGTGTTGCAAACGTTTGGTCGTGTCCATCACTATATTCTTCAAGTTTTCTGTTGTTTCTTCTTCTCCACCGTTGTCCGAGTTGATGGCATGATTCAGTGGTCGTTGTGTGTCACGAAGAACACGTAGTATATGAGCTCTTCTTCTTTCGCGTACCAGTTG